GTTATGAACAGTTTGTATTCCTGAAGTTATACATGAGAATAATGAAATCCAACCAAATCAATACTCATGGACACATATATATTAAAAATAGTGATATAAAAATAGTTCATTAAGATTGTATTAGTGCCAGAAGCACAAGTACAAAAGTATAATTTTTTTTTTATTTTTTTATATGATATGATAGAAAATTCTATATTTTCTATAACACTATATATTTCCTAGATTTAGTCGTCATTCTTTGTATATGAGCATATCTTGGTTGATATGTATCCTATTATTCTTGACATTAATTACTTTTTAGGATTTGAAAGTGGTAAGACACGTAAGTTATGTCCAGTAGACATTATTCTCCAGATACAATTATTTTCGATGATGGAGGAAAAATTTTGTTTAACGTACGGAATGACATCTCTCATACTTCAATTGTTATACTCCCGAAGAGTTATAAAATAAAAATACCGACATATTTTATTATTCGTCCATGGATCTGAATACGCATGAAACATATGTGGATTAATTTTAAAATGTGAATTGTGTATGTTGTTTAGAATATATATGGTGAAGCTATCAAAATAAGCTATTACGATATGATTTAGTTTGAAAATTATAATTGCATATTTTGTTCCGTTGTTTTATGCATTAAGTATGGACATGTTGAGCCTAAATCAATTTGAATATCCTGAACTTTCGTCTAACTGACTAATGAACCCAATGAATGGTATGCATGTAGTTATTTTATTATTTTGTCATAAATTGCAGAGCAAATATCCTATTGAATTTTATTCCGGTAAATATGAGTTTACCTGAAGGATTATATAACTAAAAGTATCACTAGTGAATTTAAATATCGACCTAGATTTGGTTATCCCTGATGGATTGGTCCTGTTGACCAGTATCATAATTGCATAAGAATTATCTAGGGAGTATCTTTGAAAGATTGATCTAGTAAATAATCTCGTTGATTTTTGGATAAATTCACGGTCTTTTGATTTTAGATCAGCTCTGCATATTCAATACTCTTAATGAAGTTATGTAACCAGAATGTTACATAGATTGAATCTATACACAAGTATTCTGAAATTATTTATGTTTGCTTGTATATTTGGTAAGATGCATACCACTGATTTATATTGTTGATAGCTACAATAATATATTTATATGTCGTGCCCGAAGTACATAAATGGTTGATAGCTACAATAAAAAGCTCACAAGCAAAGTACAATTGTAGTGCCTGAGGCATATAGTCTTCACTTAGAAATGAATTATTATACTTCGATGCCCAACTTATATATTTGATAATTAGCATGAGCAGTTGGATCATATTGGGCAATTATTTATGATAATTTCCCCCTAAAATGCGTGGAGAATCGAACATTTCTCATCTGCAATTTATTGTTATTTTATTATGCAATATTTTATATCACCACTAATTCGTATCTTTTTGGGCCTATATTACAAACTAGGTATGCTATGAATTTTATACTCCGTCGAATTTTTAATACCTAGAGGCCATTACAGGGGATCAATTTATTACTTGGTACGTGTTTTGCATAATATATGAAGATGTTTTCACGACATTAGGGGGAGATATAAGCATAAGTTTATTAATGCCGTGAAATATGCGAAATATTAATGTTTTCATTATTGGAGACCACACAATAAAAATCGAACTTGAAGTTCATATTATATTTCTGCCAATCGAAATATATAGTAATAATGGAGTGACCGATTTGTAAATATATAGATGTACCACAAAATAAGCAAATTCCCTAGGGAATCATTGACTCCTTAATGCTTGAAGCATAAGGTGATATAACTAATATGATGTATGAAAACCCGCGGAAAATGTATATTTAAGAATTAACACTCCATTATAAGAAGCTCCTGAAGAGTTGATCCAGTACATCTTGCACGTGCATCAAACCATTATAGTACTGGAAATGCGGAACGACCAAAATTAGATGTTATGGGAAATGATTATAAATATGGCTAGTAAATATGAAGTTGTATATATGGTTGAGAGAAAAATATAAATTGAATCAGTTTTCGACAACATACTTGCCTATGTGATTTCTTTACTATCTCAAATAATGATCCGGATCAAAATAATGAAAGTGCTAGAAGCACTTAGATTGATTGAGATAGAAAGAAAAACTTAGGCAGAGCTTTCACTCGCTACACGATATATCCCAGGAGGATAACATATCCCAGAAGGATAATGAATATTTATATGAATATGTGATGTGGTGGTATGATGCAAAATATAGCGAGATTATGCTCTTGGGTTTATGCAGAGACCCAAATATTTATTTAGATAAGTTCTCTCATTATCAATGATTTCGCAAGTTAATATTTATGGCAGCAATATTACCATGACTATTGAGTTATATGCGAAAGTTCTGGATGGACTCGAGTACCCGAGATGAAAGATAATGAAATAATAAATAGTTTAATTATTTAAAGTGTTGGTAAGATGTGGTACAACCAACTAAATTCTTCCTGAAGAAGTA